TGATAGAAAATTATATGTGAGAAAGCTGTTTGAGGGGCTTTATTAACTTGGTATTTACCTTTTCTGAGCCTAACAGAATCAAGGGTTTGGGGATCATACCTTAGCTGTATTTTTTCCTGATGCAAAACAGGAACTCTTGAAGTCCTGAACATAGATAAAAAGCCAGATTTGAGCATAGGGAAAGTACAAGAGCTCTGTGCAGAGCATAAATTGGTCTTCCTCTCCCCCAAATCCCAATTCACTATATCGAGATCACCAGCTTATTGTGATTTGGTAATTTATAAGAATGGCAAGCCAGATTACTAGTCAGTGTTCTCTAAGGCAACAGAATGGCTAAAATGAATATATAAAAGGAATTTATTACCTTGCCGTATATGATATGTTCCATGTAATCCAACAATGGCTATCTCACACTGGAGAGGCCATGTATCTGATAACTGCTCAGTCCATGAGTTTGGATGTCTCAGCAGTCCCAATCAGGCACTGAAGGACTGGAGGATTCCTGGAGAACTACTGGTCTTCAGTCTATGTTGGAAGACAGAGGAAGTCAGTTCTAATATGGGTGATGGAATGCCACAGCAATGACACAGATGAATTTACCAGTAAGAGTGAAGGCAAGCAGGCAAAGCAATGTTCCTTCTTCCATGTCTTTATGTAGGCTGCCACCAGAAGGTGCTACCTACATTCAGGGTGGGTCCTTCTGCTTCAAGTAGTCTAATCAAGAAAAATCCCTCACTGGAGTGCCCAGCAACTTGTGTTTTAGTTGATTCTAGATCCAGTCAGGTTGACAACCAAGTCTAACCATTACAGTTACTTAATTACTCTCTGCCCAATTCAGTTTTTCTTTCTGTTGCTTTAGGTTGTTACTTCCCTGTGTCCAATCTGTTCTTTGAATTAACTTTCCTGGCACCTCAGTCTCAGGCATATAAATAATTAGTGTTATTTATGTAATATAGAGTTTTCCACATATAGAGTTACACTCTATCTAGTAGAGTAGCTGAGCATTTATAATGTAGCTAGTTCAAGTTGAGATGTAGTATAAGAGGAAACTACATGTTATATTTCAAAGATTTAATACAAAAAAGATGTGAAATATCTCAATTTTTATGCTCTTTGGACTATGTTAGGTTAAGTCTGTTAAATTTTCAGTAAAATTACATATTCACATTTCTGGCTCCTGTTTTATTTCTCTTGAATAGCAGTTACAGGGTATAGTGAAATAGAAATTACCCTCATCAAAGAACAAGAAAAGAAGGCTTGGGAGATAAGAGCTCAGTGGTAGAGCACTTGCCTAGCA